CTCACCTTGCATTCTTGGAATTGTTACAAGGCAGAGAGAGGGGCACCTGTGAACCCCCAAACCTGCCTCCTCTAAATAGGTTCTGCCATCCGCCGCATCAAGGCAAAACAGATAAGACTTTAATGCAAAGGAGCTTTAATACAGTGAGTATATAATACAGAAGACAAAGAATAGAACTTCTAAATCAAACACCTGAAGTGACCCATCCCCTTGTAGGCAAAAGTCCACCCAAAAGGGATTGGCCCAAAGCAAGGCCTGAAAGCTGCCACTAGACTAAAGCACCTTCTGGCCGGGACCCATAGAACAGGGTCAGAAATGACCAGACAAATCTGGGAGGAAAAGAGCAAAATCAAAATCAAGATAAACACGGCCATAATCAACCTCCCCACGGGTCTCTTACCCACATCTGGCTCAACCAGTCCAGGGCCAGGAAACAAGCGCGGTTTCTCCATCACAAGCCTCCCTTTCCTCCCTGTGGCTTCCTCAGGGCTCCTGACTCTCCATCCTGCTTCCTCCTTCTTCAGATTCCTTCTTTTCTCTCCTTTTCTCTGCTCAGCTCCACCCTATCTCTGGGTGGGGCAGGGAACCTGAGAACTTCCCCTTTTCCTGGGGACCACCCTGTTACAGAATGAACTCCTTAGTATACAATTCTTTTTTTTTTTTAACATTTCCTTTTTTATTTTTTTAATTTTTTAATTTTATTTATTACAAAGTTTATTTTTACATCATTTTGCACATTTTTTTTTCCATCTCGATTCTAATCCCCGCGGGTTTCCCATCACCAAATCACCCCTGTGCCACCACCATAATCCCGTGCATTTCCCTCCCCCCACCCCCCATTTTTGATCCCATTCCCCACTCCACCCCCACAGAATGTCTCTGGTCTATGGTTGTTCATTATTTTTGTTATTTTCTCGCCTGGTCCATTATACTCCTGCTATGAGTGAAACCATCCGGTATTTTTCTTTCTCTTTCTGGCTTATCTCACTAAGCATGATCTTTTCCAGAGTATACAATTCTTTTACACTGTTTCTGAGTTCTGCTTGCTAATATTTTGTAAAAGATTTTTGCATGTGTAATCATGAAGGGTATTGGTCTGCAATTTTCTTTCTTTGTACTGTCTTTCTGTTTTGGGTGTCAATATCATAGTGACTTTATCAAATGCATTGAAAAGTGATCCTTCCTCTTATGTTTCCTATAACAGTGTGATGAATGGGTGATGTGTCTTTAAATATTTGATAGCATCCTCCAGCTAAACAACATGGGCTAGAAGATTTCTCTTTCCAGAGTTTTAAGTTTACAAATGTAATTTCTTAGTAATTATAAGATTATATAAATGGACTACTTCATATTGGCTGAGTTGTAATAGTTTTTGTTTTCTGGGGAATTGGTTTCTTTCACATCTAATTATCAAACTTAAGTGCGTAGGGTTGTTCAAATTTATTCCTTTATTATCTTTTTAATATCTCCAGGGTCTAGAGTGATAGCCCATTTCACGCCTGATGCTGGTAATCTGTGTCTTCCCTCTTTTTTCACTCTGTCAGTCTTGCTTGAAGTTTGACAATTCTTTTTAATTTATCTATCATTTATTTGGCTGAGGTAACACTGGGTTATAACACTGTATATGTTGTAAGAACAAGTTCATAGCTCCTCAGAGCTTGAAAGCAGAAAGTTTCCCAGGTCTGCTTAGGTTCTGCCATGTTCCCAGGCCTGCTGCTTGAGGGAGTCTGTTGCTTGGATTTTGCTGGAACAGAAAATTCTTGCAGTATACTGCTCGCCCACAGTAGTAGCCCTGGCTACCTTGATCCTCTCCCCAAACAATAAAAATGCTTATGCTGTGATGGGTGGGGTGACAAGGTTCCTCATAAACCTGTATAAACCTCTCCATTCCTGTGATTCGGGGCTCAGCCTTTAGGGACTGATCCCTCTGAGCCTGCTGGTGTGACAAATAAATCTGTCTCCCCACCTCTCTGAGTGCTGTCCGATTTCTCTGGGAAATCACCTACCAGCCACACCCCACCCACCAGCAAAGCACTCATAATCCTTGGCCCCCACCAGTAGCATCAATTCTGCAGTCATTTTTCTAGAGTTTGTAATGGGTTGATTTTTATCAGTCCTTTTATTTTGTTTCTCTGTATTCCATATATGGGCGACTGACACTTTTATTGATCTAATTAAAGCGGCAGGTCTTTTTGGATCATGTCCAGCTACTGAGGATTCTCAAGATAGCAACTTCTTTCTTTTCAGTTCATGTTTCTCTGTCTTATTCTACATAACTAACATTTGGTTTCAGTTACCACCCCCATTCCTGCGGCCTTTCCTTTCCTCTTCTGTACCTTGGCTGATTCTCCTTCGCTGTATACCCTTCCTTTTGGCCTTGCTTTCGAAAGGTGACCATGTCTTGCTGGTATCTCTCTCTGGTTTCATTTTTATGCAGACTCTTTTATGGTATAATTGCACGAAACAACTGTGAGTTGTAAGGACCTTTGTAGAAAACATGTCTGATTAAAAAAAAAATTGAAGTATTTGGTAGCTGTTGTGGGGGCACAGGGGAAAATCCCCCACCGCTCCAGGTACTGCTTGGGCTGAGTAAGCAATCAAAATAGCATCATATGTGTTAGCAAAGGAGAAAAAATTCACTTAATAATATACACGTGGAAATTTTATATGGGTATAAATTCTAAAGAATAATGGGGCAAAGCAGAGGTATTTGTCTTGATTTTAGGAATCTGGAGCACCAAGGAGAAAGAAGTCAGAGAGACTTCATACAACAGACAAGGAGGGGATTATCTTCTCAGATAGAGAAACCTATATGTGGGCGATACCCTCTATCTGTATTCTTCTATATTATAAAAGGGAACAAACAGTCATTGGGGTCTTCACTGCTCTTTACATGAAATAATCTGCATTCTTTAAGGAAGGACAACAGACTTCCCTGGGCTCACACCATCACACCTAGGTGACACCTATTGCAAGAAGCCTCCTCTAGACACATTGAGAAGAGCCTATCTGGCCCTTCTGGGGACAGTAACCCCACATGTCAATGTTGAATTGGCCTCGCCCCATGGTGTACTGGAAAGCACATCAGGCTTGGTAATGCAACTCCTGAGTTTAAGTCCTGACTCTGCCACTAATATCCCCACATACTGGCTGGGTGGCTCTGCCTTGCTCACTCATCTGGTTAGGCACTGCACAGCTACTGGGTAACCAGGTCAGTCCAGACAGATCTTGAAATAGCATAAAATTTCCACCGCCTGGCCCCACCCCACATCTAATCCCTGGGCAGGGACAACTGACCCTCACTGCCGCCTTTTGCCAGCATTTCTACTCTTCCCAACTTGGCCTAACTGGGCAACTCACGGTTACAGCAGAGTCCTGCCTTGAGAGGTGCCATTTCTTTTTCTGTGCCTCTGGAACCTTTCCCGCCAGCAGATTTCTTTGCTGTCTTCTCTGCTTGTTTGAACACTGGCCTCCCTCCAGGGCCAGATCAACTACCACTGCCCAGCGAGGTCTTCTCTGACCACCCCAGCTCAAACGGGTGGCCCCTCTGGCTCCACGAGGCCACTGCCCACGCCATGGACAGAGCCCCTCAGGAGCCTCACTCTGGACAGCATGTTGGTGAGGAGCACAGGCTTCCATCCTGGCCCTGGCCATCTTAATGCATACCCATAAGCCTCCACTTACCTCCTTAAGTCTTAGCGGCTTCTTCCTCAGCTCTGCTCAACAGCGTTGTTGTGAAGATCAAATAAAACAAAAAAGGTGGTGTTAAATAAACAGAAGAGCTTTTTTTAAATCAAGGTAAAATGAAATATTCATGAAATAATGTAATTGGAGAATTACAAAGCTGGAGGTCACGTAAGAAAAATCCCTCTGTGTCTGTTCAGAAGCACATCTGTTCAAAGGAAATGGGAGGTACTTTAAAATGCATAGAAAATGGTTAGCTGTGGGTGATGGGTTAATTGTTGGTTTTTATTTTCTCTTCTATATTTGACATTTTTAGGGTGAGAATGTAGCAGATTTTAAAGGAGAAAATATTATTTTTAAAAGAGAAAAATCAAGGCCTTATGAGATGTTATTATCAGTTATGTATGCTCACTATGCTGCAACATGATTTAATTGAATTCTTTTATTTGAACTTTGAAATTGCTTTACATTATTATTCCTTTTCGTCCAGTATTTGATGTCTCCCCCTAGGTGTAGTTCCCCAAAATCTCCCACCACCATGTCACCCATGAACCATCACCATAATCCCTTGTGTTCTGCATAGGGATTTTAAAGTGGCATATAATGTAGCAAGGATAAAATGGAATATAAACCAAAAGGAAGCCAAGGGGAAAGGAGGGTAGGAAAGATACTTTGTAATGACACTGTTACAGGTGTATGATCATTGTCTAGTCTTTCTACTAAGTGATTTTCTTTTTTTAAAGAATGACCTGGACTGCCTCTTAGTCAGCGTTTAATAGATGCAATTAATATTACAGAAGAAAGGCACCATTTTGAGTACATTGTAATGACGCGAAAGAGCTATCATGAAACAGAAGAATTTTCTGCCAATTTTCTGATGAGTACTGTTTTTAGCATTGTAGACGGTCCTAAAAAAGGCGTGGCTGCTGTTATTTATATTGATGTTGTAGCTGTACAGTAAGCTGCAAGTTACAAGTATGCATCGACTTTACATATCTGCTTCGAATACATTCAATGGAGATGCAGACTGGGGTAAAGAAATAAGCCCAAAGTGGAGGAACATTTTTGCCTTGGCCCTGCCAGTAATTAGCGAGGCATTAATATCTTGGCTTTTTGTTCTCCCCAGAAATGGAGGGGCCTGGACAAGATGTGACTTGGAACGTCTATAGTTAGTTAAGGTGTAGTTTCACTTGTTTATGAGTGTTCGTTTCCATAGATCCTTCCACTTAGCAATATTTATTGTTAAGTGACTTATGTTACAAAATGTTCATCTTCATTTGCCTAATATTAACATAGTTTGAATGTCTTTTTCACAGAAAGACCTCTCTCCCCCAAGTCTGTCAAAGGATTTGAAACTGCTCCACTTACCAAGAATTATTATACTGTGGTGAGTGATCACATGATGAATAACAGTTTTTTTTGTTTTTAATTCCCTGTATGGAATCTTTTCTCTTGTTAACCACTGGTGTATTAAGTTGATCCAAATGAAAGATTGGATAAAGTTGCACTGCAAGAGTCTAACGTCAGCTGCATCACAATGAGCATCACAACGAAGCTCTTCTATTTGTAGCCCTCTAATGGGTGTCTTCAAGTTTTATACCCACCATACTGAAAAATTCCAGAGTAGCACAAAGATTCAGAGTAATGTTTAGTAAATTGTGGTAAAAGAGAAATTGGCTATATATATATGTAGCCATATAGGAAAAATCCAGCAGCTAGATATAGCCTGACTACATATTTAGGATTCCCAAGTTCCTCTAATGCACTGTTTTAAGTGATTGCATACTGTGGTTTTATTTAGAACCAGTCAATCCATTATGATTACCCTCTGAAACATTATCAACCTTGTTCTTGAGGAGAACCCAAAGGAAAGACTGCCTTTTGGCACAGAGAGAGGAATGAAATGGCTCTGGCTTAAACACAGATATGTCAAAATATATTAGCTATAAATAGGGTATGTGCAATACTCAAAATAAGTTCCTGCTTGAAAAAGAAATCATTTCATTCTCCATAATCTACCGTCTGTTTTTCTTCATGGCTCTTTTCCGGACGTGGCCCACTCACTAATGAAAAGGTCAAGTCATCATGCTCTAAATTTCCCTGTGCTACCGGTAGCTCAGTGTCATCTGCCATCTCTGCTGAAATGTAGTTTCAGTTTTCATCCTATCTTCAGTATGCTTTTCACTGCGTGCTTCTTTCATTTTGTGCATGAATAAGCAGCTTTTGAACATTTCTATACATTTGGTTTTAAAATTAAATTTCGCTCTTCAGTGAATTTGCTCCACAATAATGACATGAGCAGCAGCTGGTATGAGTAGCCAAGGGAGGGACTTCAGAGCCAACATGGACGATAATCTTGCTACTACTTTTCCTGTTGTATTTCTGAGGTTAAAAAACATTACCCCCTCCCTCCTCCTGATCACATCTTTTAGCTCTCTGGTGAGATCGCCAACGCTCTAATTGTTTCTTTAAAAAAAAAAAAAACAAGGCAGTTAAATTATGCCTGGAAATGTTACCTGTGGATCTTCTCCCTATGACAGGAAACATACCGTTGCACTGCTTTGGGTCTCTTTCTGTCTCTGCTGATTCTCCCAATTTAAAATATAGTAGGTATTATTCAAGGCACATTAGCTTCTGTGCTTCTTATGTGCCTTCTGTAAACTCTATAAATTCTGGATGTGCATTGCAGTTTGTATTACCAACCTCCTACTGGAGTTTATGTGCATTGTTCCTAGTTATTTGCTATCATAAACAAGTCTGCGTTATTTTCATCTTATATATATATGACATTGTTATAGTGTGTAAGAATTTGTAAGGTAGATTCCTAAAAGTTCATTGGTTGGGTAATACAAATTGTTTATCAATATCGTATCTATCTATTCCTCTATCTATCTTCATCCAGCTATAAATTTTTATATATTGTCTCCAACTTAAAGAAAAAGAAAGTTTTTGGGAGACCATGATGGCCAGTGAAGGGGCTATAAATTTGTGATATGAATATTGCTAATTATTGCACCCAGTTGGACATATTGTTGTAACTAAATATAGATGTGAAGTAATTTGGGTTAGTTGTAGGGTTTTTAAATTGACATTTCTTTTGATTTGTGAATATCTTAGACAATTTTTTTAGCCTTAATTCAAAATATATTCTGAGCATTCAGATTATCCTCCCAATTATTGTTGAATACATTTTATGAATCCACTCTAGCCCATTCAGGTGGAGACCTGGGAACTAAAGTTTAACTATCTGATCTTACCTTAACTCTTCTTCCTTCTAAGAGTCATTCATTATAGTCTTTTTCTGTTCTTACTTCTGTAAGAGTACTAATGACTTATTACTCTATGAAAAAAAAATTTCCTAAGTGCATGACTGATTATATAAATAACTGTTTAAGAGTCAGATAATACAGAAAAGGTATAAAGGAAAAATGAATACTACCTGTAATTCCACTCCCCTGAGAAGACCATAGTTAATGTGTTGTTGAATCTTACACTTTCTTTAAGGTAGTTATGTATGTTGCATATATGTATATATGCAAATATATGCCAATGACATAAATAAATATATATCCATCTTTGTGAGCCTGAGCTTAGAGTTGCACACACACACGTATATATGTACATATGCTTATTTGTGTGTATATTTAAATAAAAACAGGCACTCTATATTCTTCATTATTTCCCCATGGAGCTTTTTGAATACACAGACCCTAAAACTCCTTGTTTCTGACCAGAACTGTTCTTACCTTCATCCATTCAGTGAGTGATTTCTAATTCAAACATTCTCTTTAGTTTCGTCCCGTGTTTTAGTCAGCTTACTCTAGAGAAATAACCAATAGGACATATGAAAAGAGTGATGCTGTGTGGAATTGACTCTTGTCCTGAGATCTGTCACTGGCAAGCTGGAATGCTGAGGCAGGCGGAGTGTGTTTCAGTCTGAGTGCAAAGACCTGAGAACCAGAGGAACCAGTAGTGTAAGTTCCAGCCTGAAGGTAGCAGAAGGCTGATGTCCCACCTTGAACAGTCAGGCAGCCTTTCCACTATCTTTCTGTTCTATTTAGGCCTTCAAGAGACTGTGCTGGCCGCTTACATTCGGAAGGCTGCCCCGTTTTCTCAAGCTACCTCACCTCACTTGGGCATGTCCTCACAGACACCCCTAGAAATAATGTTTACTTGAGCACCTTGTGCGCTAGTCAAAATGATGCGTAGAATTAGCTGTCAGCCTGTGCACTTGAGGAAGATAGAGACTTCCTGGAATTTCCAAATTGATGACCATTCTAGGCTCCCTGTATAAGTTTCCAAGGGACTGTACCCTTGGAAAGGCCATTCAGGCCTTAGTGCAATTCTGGTGACTTTGGACATCAAGCCCAGACCTGCATCTGCCGTGAGCCTGTCAAAATTCAATGGCTTTTGTTAAACTTCTCTCATCATTAAAAAAAAAAAAAACCTTTTTATCTTTTTATTAATTAGTTTTTGAATGCTCTTCTCATTGATATTCTTTGTCCATTGTGACTGGATATTACATGCCAGAAGGCATTAAAGAAAGGAATAAGAATACGGGAAATCGGAACCACTGAGGTAATGCCTGAGTTCATTAGCTTCACCACGGGGATCACTACACAATATATAGCAAACCATTAAATTGTGCACCTTAAATAGATACGGTTTTTACTTGTCAGCTGTACTGCAATGAAACTGAAAAAGTAAAGAACAGAAAAAGGAATCTCTGTAGCTTAGTTGTCAGGCTTAATTTGTCTGCAACACTTCGTTCTTGGCACCCAGGCATCTTTGGCAACACAGGACAGACAGACCTGATCGTATCAGCCACATGGCACAGAGCGATACATAGTCATAAGGCATCCCATCATGCTTTCTCCATCTGCTGTCAGAGGATTCCTTGCATCAGAAGTCCCTGCAGGTGTCTAGGCCTCACACCCAAATTGCGATATCACAATCTCTTCTCTGTCCAGAGATACCAGGAAACAGGTTTTTTTTTTTTTTTTTTTTTTTTTTTTTTTTTTTTTACAAAACACACAACCCCTTTTCACCCCCTTCCCAAACACAGTGCACATAGTGCACTATGTAAAGTTTGCAGACCATTAAAGGGAAAGGTTGAATGGAAGAGATAGGATCATTGAGTGCCTGGCGGGAAGTAGATAAGCAGAGAAGAGCTGAAAGGGAATTTAGGCAGCGGGAATTCTGAGCAGATCCACCCAGGCAAGAATGTTGGTGCCTGCGGTCCATCCCCGCAGGCCACAGAGTGGACTGTACTCTCTTCTTGCCACATCGAGATGCCACTTCAGAAGGTGAAATTCTTTATTCATGGCAACGACAGTCCCGCATGTTTCACTGCAGGGATAGGTTCTGAGAAATGCATGGTTAGGGGATTCCATCGTAGTGTGAACATCATGGAGTGCCCTCACATGGTCCTAGATGGTCCAAGCTCTATGGTCGAGTCGATTGGGACCGCCATCATAAGTGCCACCGTTGTTGACAGCAACATCACTAGGCAACCTGTGACTGTACTGCAGTAGACTATGAGATGTCTACGTACTGCCACAAATAGATCAGTTTCATAGTAATCCTAATATTCAGCTCTGGGGATGGCATCTGTCTGCAGAATGAGAGGTGATACTTTCCTACATCCAAATAGGAAAATATAATTAGTAATGGTCAGTGTTGGTTGCCAATAATAGCAGGTGTCTAATGGCTATGTCTTAAAGGACCCAACTGCAGGTGGAGAGGGGGGAAGAATTCTGTGGTTTACTAACTCAGATATCATTCCTCTAATTCTTGTGCTTGCTATTCACCTACTCAACCCTGTTTTCTCTCTCACTCATTTACAGATCCACTTGCTCCCACACTGAATTACCTCTACCTCTCCAGTGCTTACCTGCCCTTTAAAAGTTTTTTTTTTTAAAAAGATTTATTTATTTGTGCATACAGAACTGGGGTACAGGCCAGAGGTGCAGGGACGGTGAGAGGGTTCACCAGAGACAGAGTGCGGAGCAGAACAGGCAGATCGACGAAGTACACTGCTGAGGGGAGCAGCGGGCGGGTCAGGAGAGGTCTGCTGCGCCATGTGGGTCACCTCCGGGGCTGGGGATCGAAACTGCACTGAAGTGGCTATGGCTAGCTTTCAGTGCTGTGTCCCCACCCGTTGCACCACAGGAAGGGCTGCCCTTTAAAAGTTTTTTTAAAGAGAAGGTTTATGCTCACAGCAACACTGAGCAGGAGGAAGACTTCTTCCAAGCCTCTCATCCCCACATGCGAACCTGTCACACCAGAGGGCTACAATTATTGAAGTACCTACATTGCTACATTAGTATCACCCCAAACCCAAAGTTTGCATTAGGATTCACTATTGGTGGGGGACATTTTATGGGG